ACTCAGCACTCGGGAGGCAGAGGCAGAAGGATCTCTGTGAGATCCAGCCTGGTCTACAGAGTGAGTTCCACGACAGGCTCCAAAGCCACAGAGAGACCCTGTCTCAAAACAAAACAAATCAAAACGCCTGGTTTTAAGCGCCTCTGTTTCTGTGAATAGCAGCACAGGTGCCCTGCTTCCCATGTGTTGCTGTTAGTCTGAGGCCTTCGCATGGGAGCAAGGTGACAGGGGGGTGGCAACAAGGTCCAGTAGGATAGCCTCTAACCCCAGCTCTTGGGAGGCAGAGCAGCAGGACTGAGTTTCATGCCATCCCAGGCTACACAGGCAGACTGTGCCGCTAAAACAAAATGCAAAGACACAAAGGCAGTGCCATTCAGGACCAGGAAATACAAGTCTCTTTCCCAGGAACATCCAGAAAACTGGACTTCATCTTGCTGAGATTTTGTTATCCAGTTGGGTCACATGCCCACGTCTGAAGCCAACTACTGCTCTATTCAGAGTGGGTGGATGGAAAGACAGTGAGCTGTTTTACCAGGGTCCGGGAGGAGGAAACGGGGCTCATGCCGGGAGGGGAGTTTGGAGTACAATTCCAGGAGGGTGAGTGGGCCTTGGGCACTGCATGAGAACAGGTGATCTCATGCAGAGGAGAGAGGAAATCCGAGAGTTAAAAGGGCGACACTTTCTAAGCACACACCAGTTTAAACTATACTGTTTGTATACTCCACTGTTAAGAATATGTACTGCTCTTCCAGAGGGCCTGAGTACCCATGTAGTAAGGGGAACCAGCTACTGCCCCCCTCATCACCTGTAATTCTAGCTTCAGAGGGATCAATTATCCCAGAGGGCACCTGCACTCAAGTTCATATTCCTACAGGTGCACGTGCACACACACACACACACACACACACATCTTTACAAATAAGTAAATATTATAGCTGAAGTCTAGCAGACTTCTGGCAACTAAACATATGGATATACTTGTGCCTGTGCTTTCCCAAGACCAGTGAATTCTTTTATTTTTTATTTATTTTTTTGTTTGTTTTTGTTTTTTGTTTTTTTGTTTTTTTTTTCAGACAGGGTTTCTCTGAGGCTTTGGAGGTTTTCCTGGAACTAGCTCTTGTAGACCAGACTGGTCTCAAACTTACAGAGATTTGCCTGCCTCTGCCTCCGAGTACTGGAACTAAAGGTGTGTGCCACCAATGCCTGGCAAGACCAGTGAATTATTAAACTAGTTTGCAATGTATGGGTCCAGTGGTTCAGACTGGCCTTGCCTCCTTCTGCAGTCTTACTGACGTGACTCATGTCATCAAAGCTGGCTGGAAGGAGCTGGAAGAATACATGTTGTTTTCAATGGAGTCCTCTGGTGCTCCATTAGTGAAGCTCCTTTTGCTGGTGAGTCTCCAATATTTCTCTCCTCATCTCCCAACTCAGTACTAAAGCCTGTTCCTAGGTAGGCTTTACTTTGGGGTTTGGTTTCTTGAATGTTTAAGGTTTTTGTTTTTGAGATGCTCTCACACTGTGGCCAGGTTAGCCTAGAGTTAAAAAATAAAGATAGGTGGATAGATATCTGTCGCACAGGCTGGCCTCAAACTTGTGGCAATCCTACTGCCTCAGTTTAGTGGATATTTTTGTTTCTGGGTTTTTTTTTTTTTTTTTTTTTCTGATTCAGGGTTTCTCTGTGTAGCCCTGGCTGTCCTGGAACTCACTCTGTAGACCAGGCTGGCCTTGGACTCACAGAGATCGGCTTGCCTCTGCCTCCCCAGCGCTGGAATTAAAAGGCGTGTGCCACTACTGATGGGCTGGCTGCCCCGTGGGTATTTAGATTACAGGTGTAAGCGCAACACCCAGCTGAAAAGGTTTTGTTATCAGCCATTGACCCATGTGTGAATAAACTTCAAAATCAGTTTTCCACTTTCCAGGGCCATTTGCATTTTAGAATGAAACACCAGGCTCTTTGCTGCCCACCTCACTAATTCTACCAGGTACTTCTGGGGTTGGCAAGCAGGACTTCCCAGAAACGCTCACCCACCGACCCTCCCTGCCCTTCCCTGAGGTCTAATTACAATCCTTTTAAACTGCCATTCAATCTTTACTCTTTGCTTTGTGGTAGGGATGAGGGTGTGAATTCCATGAATCTTCTCATATATTCACTCAACAAACTTCTTTTGAGCGCGCCGACTGAGATAAATGTATATACATTTGTCCTGAGAACCCTGCTCTCCAAAAGCTCCCAGTGGAATTTTAATACAGAAAACATTACCTTCACACAAAGTGAGGCTTGTTGGGTCCTAAAATGCTCAGCAGACACCGCTTTGGAAACTGGAAATTTTCAAAAGCCCTTTCCAGGTGGACCAGAGCGCCAGCAGAGTGGGTGGGGACTGTGGTTTCTATCTTGCTTTGGAATGTTGGGATTTGTTTTGGATGTTCTGAACATCAGGTTGGAGATACACGCAAACGAAGGGGCTCCTAACCAGATCAGGGTTGGAGGCAGCCCAGGACACCGTCTCCATGGTGCACAGGCCCAGACAGTTGGGAAACAAACAAAAACCCATGATGGGGAGTGGACAAAGGCAAAAAAAACAAAAAAACAAAAACAAACCCAAAACATACAAAGGCCAAGAGATGGGAAACCGAGGGAGGGAAGCATGTGGTTACACGGTGAAGAGAGGGTGGGAGTGTTAGAGGGGTCTGGGGGTGGGATCACGTTTGGATGAAGAACTGAATCCAACCCCAGGGCCTAAGAGTCACCATAGCAACGGGTAGGGTGAGTTCGGCAGATTCCATGCCAACACAAACCTCCTGGGCTTAGCAGTGGATGGGCGCAGATGTGATGTGGCCATGTTATAAAGAAAAACACCTGAACTGGGCTCTTTAAATCAACTCCCCAGCCCTGGCCTGGCTTGGGAGGCAATTGCCATTTAATGGAATGAATTAATCATAGCCAACACTGAATCACATGCACTTCTCTCCACAAAAGCGCGATCTTGTGGGCGGGTTTCTTACCTGTGAGATGCCCGCTTGACACCTCTCTGAATGCAGCATTCCAGACAATGATGTGTAGTTGGCAAGAGGGGACAGATGTGTGTTGGGGGGGGAGGGTGCGTCTCACAAGGCCAAGGCAGCAGGGTCCCAGTGTGAGGCGGTGGCACCTGAGTGCCCCCTGACCTCCTCTGCATTCAACAACTACTGGGGCATGTTCCTCCCCAGTGGGCACATTAAACAGAGCAAAGAGGAGGCGGCTTTCTCCTCCTGCCCAGCTTGCCTTCTCTAGAGCCATCTATCTAACTTAGGCTTAGGTAAGGGCTGAGTGGAGTTGAGTCATTTAGGGCTACTCTTCTTCTTGCTTGATCATTTCCAGGTACCCAGAGGCCTCATAGCACCTCCCACAACCCTCTTCAAGAGCTACTGCCTTCACTAGACAAAATAAGCAGTGCTTCAGACCCATAGTTGGGAAATGTTTAAATTTTTTTTTTTTTTTAAACCAGAAGGGTTTGGATATAGCTCCATGGTAGGTGCTTGCCTAGCAAATACAAGGCCCTGGATTCAAAACTCATGGTTGGAGAGATGGCTCAGTGGTTAAGAACACTGGCTGCTCTTCCTGAGGAAACTGAGGCAAAACACCAATGCATATAAAATTTAAAAAAAAAAAAAAAACAAATTTAAAACCAGACCTGGTGTCCATGAACTCAGGAGATAGAGGCAAGGACATCAGAAATTCAAGGTAATCCTTAACTATGCAGCAAGCTCTAGATCAACCTAGACTTCATGGACCCCTGCCTCAAAACCACCCCCCCCAAAAAAAAAAACAATTCTTTAGCTTTGCCCTACCCACTTTCCGGCACAATTCTTTGTGTACTGCCTCCTTCCTTTGAGGACCCTGGCCCTTGCATGTTTCCACTGAGATTCCCCTCCCTCTCTTTGCCTATACTGACTGCTCCTTAGGCTCCAGTTGAATGCAACCTCTATGATTTGTGGGAGAAGGCAACGAAGCTGTATTGTAGTTTAGCTATGAAGTGTGTGTGTGTGTGTGTGTGTGTGTGTGTGTGTGTGTGTGTGTTTCCTGGCTTCAAGATAGTAACTGCTCTGCCCAAACATACCCTTCCACCCTGCCATTATGAGCTGGGAGCTCAGAAATTCTAAGTCTCCATCAGTCCCTCTTCCCTCAAACAGTTTATTTCAGGGATTTTGTTTCTGCAATAAGAAAGATGGCCTGACTCGGATTATTTAGTAAGACTTCATCACAAGCGCTCTGTTTGATGTGGTGCTGGGGATCAAACCCATGGCTTGGTGCATACCAGGTCAGCACCTCATCTATAATCTCAGCTCTGCCACTTCCTCCTGGTATGGCCATGAACAAGCTATTAAGCTTTCTGGGCCTGCCTCCAGATCCTTATTTGCTAAAGGATCTATACAAGGCCTGTCGTGGAGATTAAAAAAAAAAAAAATCAATACACAATACATATACAGTCTGTGGTATTGGCTCTGTATTCCCAACCCTAGACCATGTTAGGACTCTTTGCCAAGTGTTTCTCCTTTATGGCATCAGTACACCAGCTTGTCCATCTGCCCAAATTGCCAGACTGCCAGCTCCTGATGGGCAAGGGCTTTGACTTTGATCCTAGTTGTACTCCTAATGCATAGCACACAGTAGGTGCTCACATGTGTGAGGTCAGTGACTACAAATCCCACTTACTAGCTATCCTGGTGACACTGCCACTCATGTCCACCATGAAGGAGGATAAAGTTTTTTGTTGTTGTTTTGTTTGCTTGTTTTTTGTTTTTATTTTGCTGATTTTGAGACAGGGTCTCACTCTGCAGCCCTGGATCTCACTATGTAAACCAGGCTGGCCTTGAATTAATAGAGATCAGCCTGCCTCTGCCTCCTAAGTGCAGGGATTAAAGATGTACACCAATATGCATAGCTTAATAAAAGTATGGTCTTTAACACTAAGTACAGCTGACATGAGCTGCGGCTGCGGATAGTCACAGAGACAACTTGGTATTTAGGAAAATATCTTTATTGTTTTTTAAATGTCCCACTATTTGATTTAAAAATCATAAATAGTGGCTTTTACACAAACTTTACAAATTGTAGAAAATTCTTTTCTCCTTCTCTATGGAAACCTCATTCTCATTCAACAGGGTTCTTTCCTGGTTGAAGCCTGGCGGGAAAGAGGAACAAAATAACCCAGCACACACAGCTGGGCTCTCTGCTCACACACTGAAGCTCAGGCTCATCCCAAAGATGAGGGCTCCTCTGAGGGAGACCCAGCCCGTGAGGGTATGTGGCCAACTGAGGCAGGCCTCGGTCTTGGAGGCCCCTGAAGGCCTAGAGTGTTGTATATCAAGGCAGCTTTGTGGGGATGATGACCCTAGTGAGCCTATGGCTTGGATCCGTCTCTCTATAACATAGCCCAGGCCACTTGGTGCTCTCAGTTTAGACATCCCCTGCCTTTTATTCGGCTCACAGAGGCTAATTTGTCAGTTACTTAAAAACAAACAACAAAAACAGAAAACAAACATTTGGTTCCATTTCAGCTGTAATCAGCAGCTGGCCATTTTTAGGAAACGGTGGAGTTGCTAGTTAAGTCTGCATTTTGTTATCCCACTGTGGCTCCTTCTCTTGTGTGGTGAGAAGGGAGGGAGGTACAGCTGTAGCAGAAACCGTTTGTTGATCTGAGAAAACCGTTCAAATGTTTTACACCCGCAGACTAATGCTGATGGAATCCCCAAACGATCCCACTGACTTTTATGAGAAACACAACTGTCCCTCTCGGGTGTCTTGAGTCAAAACAAGGCAACCGCCTAATGATTTATCACCCCTATTGCACACATTCTGTCTTCCAAAAGGCATTAGAGAAAGGGCCAGCCTCCATCTGAATGATTGTAAACACACCACCGACAGCTTGGACACTTTGCTTTTAAATGCAACAGGAGTTACTTTTCCCTTTGGCCTTGGTGGAAGAGCTGCCTCCCTAGACTATTCAGGAAGAAGCAGATGGGAGGGCACCCTGAAACTGACAAGTGAGGGTGTGTGACTGAACTGTGTGGCTGGGCACATCATCAAAGGCAATCAGAACATTTATGGCATGTGAAAACTGTCCTGTGAACCCCCCTTGCAACCGGTCCTCAAACTTGACCTGGCTGGATGGATATGAGATACAGGAGGTAGAGGACAAGCTTCCGTAAGGCACACGGTGAGTGGCCCCCACTCCACGTGCCTGTGATCATCTCTTCACTCGGTTCCAGAAGTGTTGGAAAGCAGAGGAGTTGGTGACACTCACAATGAGCAGCAGCAGCAGATACAGGGACATCATGACCATGAACCAATGGCTGGACAACCAGGAGAGCTGGCTGGAGGCCCTGCCCAGAGGGAAAAAGAACATTTTTGTTTTAAGTGTATGCAAGAAGTTCTGGCTCAGGGAACACGACATGATGAATTTCATCCTCTGTAAGCCTCGAAGTGAAGCTTCGTGCGGCTCTGCTTGAGAGATCTGGGGCTGTTTGCCCTGGCACCGCCAACTCGCTTTTCAACAGAACATTTTCTAAATGCACAAGGACAGCTATGCTATGAGCTCACCCACTCTTCCCTTTTTAGCTCCTCTATTGCCTCTTATAACTTTTCACCCCCCTTTCTGGAGCAAGGCTTTGGTATCTAAAAGGATGCCCCAGCTCAGGGTGTCTGCACAGATCAGGACAAGTTACCCAGCAAAGGTCTTTTCTACATGAGCAGATATAAATCTGACCTGGGGAAATCTTTTTTTGTTTGTTTTTTCAAGACAGGATTTCTTGAGCTTTGGAGTCTGTATTGGAACTCACTCTATATACCCTGGGCTAGACTCGAACTCACAGAGCTCTGCCTGTCTCTGCCTCTTGAATGCTGGGATTAAAAGCGAGGACAACACTGCCAGCTCATATCTTTTGCAATGCTGAGGATCAAACCCAGGGCCTTTGTATGCTAGGCAAGCACTTTACCACTGAGCTACATCCATGACATGAACTCATTAGAGAGATGAAGATGAAGCATCTTGGACCCACAGCATGTCACTGTGGGAAGCAGCTGAGCTGCACATCCTCAGCCACTGTCAGGTTCCCGTCCTGCCTCTAGGCTTAGTCTCTGCAACAGAGTTCAGAAAATCATGGTCCCAGGGAGCCCTAGTTTGACTTCATGTACCCCTCAAACAGGCTTGTTCCCAAGTCAAGCTCCACTACAATGTTTGGTCCCCTTGGAGTCAGAGCCACATACATCTCTGGCTTCCCTACCTCGTCTCTCAGGTGTTCAGCACTGTGGGGCATACCCATGCTTTACACACAAGGGAGACCTGAGGCTGGAGGCAAGGCGAAGCTGATGACCGAGCAATTGACACTCTGAACACAATAGCCATCTCCTAACCTCATTCAGGGACCGTCTGCTTACCTCTTGGGCTGCTTCTGGGAATACACTAGTAGGTACTTCACCCGCAGAAGCTGGTTATTGGTAACCACAAAGTACTTAGGAGGGACATCTCCCCCTTCGCTGTGCTTGATTCTTGCTCTATTGCGGTCAATATCCTTGGAATCTGAAAAAGAAGAGTGAAGCACACTCTGTCGGGTGGGGTGTGGGATGGGAACACAATACCAAAAGAAGCAAATTTGGAATAGAAATGAGTCAAGGTCCGAGGTCCAGAGGCACAAGGTCAGCAGGTCAAGGAATGTACTTGTGTTCATGTGAGAATCAGCACAGAGAATGGGAGACTCTGGCAGGCAGGGAGAAGGGATAGGAAAATAGAAGAGAAGAAATGAAAACAGCTGAATGGATCAAGCAGAAGGCTGAGTGCAGATGGACATCACGTACCCTGGGACCGGGACCAGGACTCATCAGGCAGCAAATGGAGTAGGACCGCTTATTTATTATCTGTCTAGAGACAAGTCTCAAATGCCTGAACTCAATACCTAGCTAAGGGTGGCCTTGAACTTCTGATCCTCCTGTCTCCAGCTTCTGAGTGCTGGGCTTGCAGGCTCCTACCATTGTACCAGGCTGATGCTGTGTTGAGAGTGGAACTCAGGGCCTCACACTTGCCAGATAAATACCAATTGAGCTACAACCCCAGGGCCTAGGAGGCATTCTGAATAGGACACACGAGATTCGAGTTCTCAGAACACTTACCTCCACCAGACTCATCGGAGCACACCTTTGACCCCAGCACCTTTTTTTTTTTTTTTTTTTTTTTTTTTTTTTTTTTTGAGACAGGGTCACACTACGTAGTTCTGCCTATCCTGGAACTCACCTTGGAAACCCACCTGCCTCTGCCTCCAGATTGCTGGGATTAAAGGCATGTGCCACTACTTGGATTTTTCTCAGCACTTTAAACTCAGTGCTTGAGAGGGAGCAGAGACAGGCAGATTTCCTGTGAGTTCAAGGCCATCCTGGTCTACATAGTAAATTCAAGGACAGCCAGGCTACTATGTAAGTAAGATTCTATCTCAAAAACAACAAAAACATTTCCACCACTCCTACCAAGACTTTTGTTTGTTTGAACTCCCAAGTACTGGAATTATAGGTGTTTATCACTATGCCTTGCCCAGCAATTATTTTAAAAAAGTTCTTTTTTTAAACAGGATCTCACTATGTAGCTCCATCTAGTCTGGAACTATGTAGACCAGGCTAGCCTTGTACTCACAGAGATCAGCCTACCTCTGCCTCTGTTGTGGATTTTCTGTGTATGTGTGAAATGCTGAACCCAGGGCCTTGCACATGCTAAGCAAGTATTTTATCTCTGGTCTGAGAGGCAGGGAGGCAGGCACGGAAGGACGCAGGGAGGCAAGGAGGACACTTTTTTCTTTTAATAACATGAAAAGGCTTTGCCAAACACAGGCCTGGGCTCTGTGGCAGCAGAGGCGGAACAGTTTTGTTTTGATGTTTAATGTCCCCATAAGCAAACTTGCTAAGAATTACGAATGCGATTGAGCGTTCGTGCTGTCTGGTTTGGGAGGGTGGCGTCAGACCTGGGCCTGTTCCTTGGGTCCAGTTGTTTCACATTAGAGGCCAGAACAGTTTGTGTCTTGAATTCTCCTTTTCTTAGTAAAGCCAACAGCCCAGTTTGGAGACTGGAATGGCAGTCCTGTGCCTCTTTTGCCTCGGAGGAGGGTGGCCCCGAGGGAAGCACAGGGCACATGGTCTAAGGGACACCTTATGCCAGTGGAGTTGAGGTGGCTGCTAACTATCTGGTCCTAGAGAGTCCATGGCCTCAGATGCCCCTGGTCATCTGGTGATTCCAGCACACTCCAGTATAACTCAGATGATTTGGACTTATTATCCTTAGCTTTTGTTGCACAAACCTTTATTGAATGTTAAGTGTATACAAAGTTCTCTGCTGATGCAAGTACCCAGAAATAATATCAAACTTCAGCTGGATGGGGGTGGCGCATGCCTTTGATCCCAGCACCTGGGAGGCAGATCTCTGTGAGTTCCAAGACAGCCTGGTCTACAGAGCGAATTCCAGGACAGCCAGGGCTACACAAAGAAACCCTGTCTTGAAAAACAAAAAACAACAACAACAAAAACAATAATAATAATACCAAAATTCTGACTCTTGACGGATGGTGGTGGCACACCTTTAAAACCAGCACTTGGGAGGCAGAGGCAGGTGGATCTCTGTGAGTCTGAGGCCAACCTGGTCTACTGAGAGAGTTCTAGGACAGCCTCCAAAGCTACAGAGAAACCCTGTCTCAAAAAACAAAAAACAAAACAAAAAAACTCTGACTCTCAAGAGCCATGCCCTCCCTCACCTTACACACTAGCTACCATTTGTCAAATCGTTTTTTTCATAATTTTGGTTTTATTTTCCTTGTTTTTGGGGAAGGGGTTTTCAAGACAAGGTTTCTCTGTGTAACAACCCTAGCTGTCCTAGAACTGGATTTGTAGACCAGGCTGTCCTCAAACTCACAGAGATCCATCTGCCTCAGCCTCCCGAGTGCTGGGATTAAAAGTGTGATCTACCAACCAGCTTTTTTTTTTAATTTTTATTTTATATGTATGTTTTGCATGAATATATGTATGTTCACATGTCTGGTACACATAAGACCAAAAGAGGATGTTAGATCCTCTGGAATTGGGGTTGCAGGTAGTTGTAAATCCCACAATGTGGCTTCTGGAACAGGCCTCAGGTTCCCCGGAAGAGCGCCAACACTCTTAACCACTGAGCCTCCATTCATCAAATCCTGCCTCCTTCCCAAAGCTTTCCCTCCCTACTTGGACCCACTCAGACACCTCTTGTCAACTCCTCCCCTAGCACTCCCTGACTCCTACCCAAAGTATGTGAGCTCTTTCTATCATGTGTTCAATCCCTGAGAAGCCATGTCTGTCTTTGCAGACCAGCCTCTGTCCTGCACTGCACTGGACCACCCTCCACCCCACACCTGGGCCAGCAGCAAGTGCCTGCAGCCGGGCCTGGGTCAAGTACTCACTCACCCTTCTTCTTGGTTTGGCACTTGACATCTGGATGATCGATGACCTCACACACAGCTACACAACTAAGGATTGGGCCAAGGAGGCTCTGCTGCCACCCATGGCCGTGTGGACTGTAAATGAGGGCCAGGCTCAAGTCACTTGTGAGGTAGGTCCCTTCTCCAAACAAAGATGTCTGAAATAGCAGATGCAAGAAGAAAAGAAACACATATGGGTGACACCAGATGGTATATGTTCTTCCACAGAACTGTAAACATAAAAATGTTCACACTCCCCCCACCCCTTTAAGACAAATAACCTCTAACATCATCATAGGGCTTTTTACTAAACACATTTCCATCTGATAATGGTTTAACTGACTGCGGATTTGGCCACCTAGCCTGGCAAAGGAGCTGTACCTTGTGGTCAAGGTTGAATGGAAAAAACAACCACCATATCAGAGTTCAAACAGACCTCGGTTTCAATGTTCCAACAAGTTACATAAATTCTGTGTTTCAGTTTCTACAACTACAAAATGGTGTAAAATTCCTCCTCTATGAGCTTGTGACCATGATTCAAAGACTTAAGTAGGGCTGGGGTGTAGCTCAGTGGTAGAGCTCTTGCCTAATCACTCATTCCTCAGCAACAGGCTCGCACATGCATTCGCGTATACGTGCACACACACACATGTGCACACATGCGCGCATGCACACACACACATGCACATGCACACACACACGCACGTATGCACACATGCACACACACATGCACATGCACACACACACGCACATGCACACACACACACACATGCACACACGCACGCACGCACTGTATATAAAACAATGTGCATTTGAAGGCTATCTGACACATAAGAGATGGTGACAGCCACAGGGCCATGCCATTACAGGTGCTGCTGTAATGAACAGAGTAATTCCCATTGTATCGGTGCATTAAGCATAGCTACACTTAGGGGGTTGCAAAAGCAAGTTACATCCTATTACTTGAAAAAAGAAAAATGGGACTAAATGAAGGACCTGGCATGAGGGGCAGAATTGAGTTTTCCTCTGTGTTGTTGTGGACTAAGAAAACATCCAAGAATCTAGGCTGCAACTAGCTGACAAGGGGTGTTAAGTTGGTTCCCTCCCCTAAGGAGAGTGGCAGGTGAAGCACTGGCAAGCGAAGCCTACAACAGGCACATGTGCAGAGTCTTCCTTTGCTATGGCAGGCACCAGTAACTGATCACCACTCAGTCACAACACCATCATCATGGCCTAGTCACACTGACTCGGAACACTTCTCTTCACACTCCAGAAGCTTCAGTCAATGGATTGACTTTGATACTCAAGTTGAAATCTGATTGCTGTCTGTGGGTGCCAGTCCCAGTATCTTAGATGACGCTGGACTCCAGGAGTTCACTGAAATACATCCTCTGCTCTGGGACTGAGAAATACTTGGCCTACCCTGTGGCTTGAGGCAAATGAAACAACCCTCAGCTTGACCTTTGGAAAGCTTCCATGCCAAAGTAGACAGCGCCCCCATCTCTTAAAAGCTGACACAGACCATCTCCAGGGACAGAGAACACCCTCTGATCAGATCCCACATGAGTCTTCTTTTCTCTCCTTTCTCTCTCTCTCTCTGAGAGTGTGTGTGTGTGTGTGTGTGTGTGTGTGTGTGTATACATGTGTGGGAGCTGGTTCTCCCTTCTGCCACATGAATACCTGGGATCAACTTCAGGTCATCAGATTAATAGAAGTCACCTTAGCCATTGAGTTCTCTCTCTCTCTGTCCCTGAACATTAATCCTTTATTTAAGTCCTACATATGTCCTCAGCTTCTGGGACTCAAAACCTGTGCTAGGCTGCACAAGAGAGTCCTGGGGCATTTCCACCCCAAGATAACTTCACAGTTTCCCTTTGGTACATGAGCTACCTCAAGGGAGCCCTTTCACTGAAAATTCAGGAGAGGCCAGAGATGAGTCCATTTACCAAAGCCCCCTCCCAGATTCACCTAAACAGCACACTGCCTGGGCACTTGAATGAAGGTTTAGTGTAGGAGAATATAAACTTCAGGCAACTTCTCCAGGCAAGCTCCAGGGTAAAACAGAGACCCCTGGATTCCAGTAGCCTGACCATTGCAGTAAGCCCAGGGCCAGTACAAACAAGCCTGTCATCCTCACCAGATCCACCAGCACTAATCAGATGCAGCAGGGCTGGAAGCAGCTTCTCCAGCCTCGGGCTACATCGGCCCCAGCTGAGCCCAGGCTCCCGGAGCCAGCCCATCAAAAAAAGACAGATGCTGCTCTGCCTGGGGAGGGCCCACAGCACCCACTACCTCAAATGCCCTCTCCACTGGCCTACAACAGCAGCTGGTGCTTCTGCCAGATCTCAGAAAACCAAGAAGCCTTTGTACATATAAGCTGCTCCAATCCTTTTGTGTGCTCGGAGGGCAACAGTACCACAGAAGAGGGAACAGACTGGAACAGCATAAGTTCCTTTGCCCAGGCCTGCGTGGTTGCCCATGCCTATTTAGCTGCAGTGGACTGCTATCCTCCTCCTACTCCTCCCTAAGGGATAGAATAAGTGTCAGAAGGAAGAGGGTGGTTGACAGTTTTGACTCATAAATGTAAGAGGAAAACAGTTCTGGGGAATGGACCTGCTCTTGCTGAATCCTGGCACACCCCGTGATTTCTCAGGGGTGACAGGAGCTCAGCAATGCTTATGGTCACCTGGGGGATTGGGGGTAGGGAGGTGAGGGGATGGGGGGTCCCTGTTAAAGTTTGGGTTCTCACCGTGTCATCTAAGGCAGGCCTGAGGCTTCACATTTCCAACAAAGTGCTCCTGGGTAATGCTTACGCTGCTGGTGCAGGGCCCACACTGTGTCACCAGGGCCAGTCACACATTAAGACCACTGGAAGAGTTAGTTGGTAAAGCACACTGATAACCCCACCTCACAGTATCTCAAGGGGTCTGGGATGCAGTTGGTTTTGGGATTTTTGTTTGTTTTTGTGAGACAAGGTCTCATGTAGCCCAGGCTAACATCAAACTCCCTATGTATCCCAGGATGACCTTGAACTTCAGATTATCTTCTTTCTGCTTCCCTAGTGTTAGGGTTATAAGTGGTCAATATCATATCGTCTTATGCAGGTGCTAGGGACTGAGCTCAGAGCCTAGTGCATTCCAAGCAAACATTCTACCAACTGGATTACATCCCAAGTTCTCTGGTACTGGTATTTTTGTTTTCTTCATTTCATTTTTTTTTTTTTTTTTTTTTTTTTTTTTTTTTTTTTTTCATGTTTGAGTGTCTGCTTGTCTATTTGGGTACCAAATGTGTAGTGTCCGTGGAGGCCAGAAGATGGTGTCGGATAACTGCAGCTAACAGGCAGTAGCCACCCAGTGTTGATTATGGGAATTGAACCCAGATCCTATGCAAGAGCAGCAAGTACTCTTAGCTCCGGAGCCACTTTTCCAGCCCCAGCCCTGGGATTTTTAAAAGCTTCCCAAGTAATCCAGAAACCACTGATACTTCCCCAACCACAATCAGCCAGGGAATCTCTCAGAGCTCCTGTCAAACACAGGTGGCCCCCACATACAGAAGGTTCGCAATGGGTTTGAGATGTTACACTTACACAGGTGACCATACTGCTGGTCTGCAGACCACTGCAAGTGCTCTGGCCTCGGTAAACCCACCTACCCATGTACTCCTCACCAAGTAGCCCCCTAACTGGGTCCCAGCACTCCCCTCCCATGCTCCTCAGGGGGGTGCCGCAGGCCCACCTTGTTCAGGTGGCAGTGCAGACCGTTGTGGATGATGGAGTGGAAGTTCTCTAGGCGGCTGCCATGGAAGGCATAGATGAGGTCTCGTTCTCCTTTGGTCTCATAAAATCTGGCGTTGGCCGGGTCAAAGTACTCAACTTCAAATAGGAAGTCCGGAGTGGGAACGGGCGTGTGAGAGGCACCCGTCAGTTGCTGGATCTTTTCGAACTTGAAAACATGAACGTGAAACATGAAGGGAGTCAGAGATTTACTTGGGGCACTGGTAAGTGTGCTGCACACATATCCTCCTAACGGCCAGTATGCTGGCACAGGCTATACTCTCAGCACTTGGGAGGTAGAGTCATGAAGACTGTGAGTTCAAGTTCATCCTCAGCTATAGGTCAAGTTTAAGGCCAGCCTGAGCTATGCGAGACAGGAAGGGAAGAGGGAAGAAGACAGATAAAAGGCCTCCTAAAACCCTGGGCTCTCCCCACCCCCAGTCAGCTTGCCCATCAGAACAGTTAGTTTCATAATTCTGAAGATGTCCCGCTGTAATCAAGCTCAGAGCTTCTGACAGATCAAGAGTGCTTCTCTCTAAGGACAGTTACGGTGGATAAGGATCATGAACTGCTCCTAACCCAAGGAATACTTCTCTTTTTTTCTTCAATTTTTAAGACACTATCTCATGAAGCCCAGATTCGACTGCTTCCAAGGGCTGGGGTTAAAGCATGCGTCACACACCTGGCTCGGAAATCACTTCTAATGTTCCCAGCACTTTTCAGGTTTGGGTGGTAGCCCACATCTGCAATCCAGCATTCGGGAGGTCTCAGAAGGGGGATGGAAAGTTCTAGGTCAGCCTGGGTTCCACAGCAAGACCCGTCTCCAAAAAACAAAACCCTGACAACAAAACCAATGCTTTTCCATCTGTTCCCATGTTTCTCATGAGGCAGAAAGTAGTGCCAAATGGCAAAAGCAGCCATAGAATTCCCCTTGCTTGTGCTCCGTTAAGTGTGAGTCTGCAGGTGGGATCCCCCAAGACGGCACCCAGACATGGGATCTATTCCTCAGCACTTGGAAGCCGGCTGGCTGTGCCCAGATTTCTTTTTGATCAATGGGCCCTTAGCACAATACATGGCAGAGACTTGCAAAGGGTTTGTCCTTCTTTGCTGATGGCTGTCCCCTTACCCAGGCCAGCCTCAGCAATTATGAGAGCCTCAATTATGAGAGGGCTCAGCCATGGCAGAAATGTAAGCATAATTACCCTAGAACATCCGCCCCCAGGAACCATCTGAGCATCACGACCTCAGAGTCATGAGATGCAGCCGGGACTTTCATTTCATCATTTAAAGGCACTAAACTTCAGGGCAGTTTGTTATCCAGCAAAAGCACTGAAACTCCTTTTTTAAGTATTAATTTTTTTCTTTTCTTTCTTTTGTTTGTTTGTTTTCAAGACAGGGTCCTTCTATATATACTAGGAACTCACTCTAGAACTCACTCTGTAGACCATGCTGGCCTTGGACTCAAAGATCTGCCTGCCTCTGCCTTCTGAGTGCTGGGATTAAATGAGTGCTGGACCATGCTTGGATAATTTTTCTCATCTTTAATACCTCCCATATACCTTTTTTGTTGTTTAGAATATTTGTTTTTTATTTATTTATGAAAGGGGGGGCAATTGGGCAGCATCTCAGTGGAGGTCAGGAGAGGGTGTTAGACCCCAGAACTGTAATTACAGGCAGCTGACAGCTGCCCAGTGTGGGTTCTGGGACACGAACTCAGGACCCCTGGAAGAGAAGCAAGCACTCTTAACCACTGAGGCTTCTCTTCAGCCCCTGTTTGTTTTTTGAGTTTTTTTTTTTTTTTTTTTTTTAAGTTTTGTGCATTCAGGCTGCCCTCAAATGGCCTTGAAATCCTGCTCCTCTTCCCTCCACCTCCCAAAGGCTGGGACTACAGGTGTGTACCACTATGACTGGCTGAAATGTCCTTTAATAAAGTAATAATACATGGCAGGCAGATGTCCTGACTTGAGTAAAATCAAAAGAGGACATTCCTGGGTACCAACACCCCCCCACATTTGAAATACTGTATTCATTTTTATTTGTATGTATATATGTGTGCCTCTTGGTCTGTATGTGTACCCCATGCATACAGATGCCCATAAGGGCCAGAAGGCACTGGATCCCCTGGAACTGGAGTTAGGGGGCAGTAGCAAGCTGCATATGGATGCTAGGAACCAAGCCCAGGTCCTCTCCAAGAAGAGCAAGTACTGTTAACCACTGAGCATCTCTCCAGCCCCACTATGTTACCATCCACGTTTTAATGTGGATTTAAATTGGTTCACAATCAAAAGTCAAGGAGCCACTATCACATCTGCTCTAGCTGTGACACCTAACAGAGCAGGGCCTTGATCCCATATGAGGTATGAGTAAATGATTCAATTTAACAAAGGAAGCAGCTCAACCCACTCTGGAATAGAGACTCCCTCTCCAGGGCTCCCTATGTTCTCACCATCCAGCACTGCTGGATGTCCCTGCGATGCCAGAATCTTGGATATAAAAATCTGTGGTACTTGGGGACACTTGTAGAAATTGAATTCTTACAGCTGGAACTGGTGATCCCAGGAATCTGAGGCAGGCGGACTGCCATAGCTCCATGGTCATGTAGGCTACATATCAAGACTTTATCCTAGAAATCCAAAAGCATGCCGGATGGTAGTGGTGCACACCTTTAAACACAGTGCTTGGGAGGCAGAGGCAGGCGAATCTCTGTGAGTTTAAGGCCAGCCTGGTCTATAGAGGGAGTTCCAGGACAGCCAATACCACACAGAGAAACCTTGTCTTGAAAAGCCAAAAAAAAAAAAAAAAAAAAAAAAAAAAGAAAGAAAGAAAAAAAAAAAAGGCTCTTCCTGTAAGTGGTCTGAGGTGATCTGTGAGCATGGTTTGCTATTCTCTTGACCCAGAAAACTCTACCAAAAGCATGCAAATCAAGAGGATCAAATCTTCAGGTTCACTTTAAGAAAACCCATTGAACTGCCCAGGCCATCAAGGGTGTGCATATCCAAAAGCCACCAAATATCTAAAAGATGTCACTTTAAAGAAGCAATGTGTGCCATTCTGGTGGTATAAGGGCTGAGTCGGCAAGTGCGCTCAATCGAGCCAAACAATGAGGCTGGACACGGGCTTGGTCACAAAAAAAGTGCGGAATTTTTGCTGCATATGCTTAAAATACAGAGAGTAACGCAGAGCTTAAGTGTCTAGACATTAGATTCTCTGGTCATTGAACACATCCAGGTAAACAAAACACCGAAGATGCACTGACAAACTTACAGAGCTCAGGGCTGGGTTACCTGGTACATGAGCTCCCCCTGCCACATCAAGATGATCCTCATAGAAAAGGAACGGACTGCTCCAAAGCCAGGGAGAAGGTTGCACAGAAGAAAAAGATAGCCCAGAAGAAACTGAAGAAACAAAAACTTAAGGCACAGAAATAAACTCAGCAAAAATTAAGTGCAGATAACAGTAAAAACAAAACCCAAAGATAAAAATAAAAATGAAACAATTTAAAAATTAAAAAAAAAAACAAAAACTTGAGGGCCAACAAGATGGCTCAGTGGGAGCAAGGTGCTTGCCAGCAAGCCTGACAACCGGAGTTCAATCCCTAGGACTCACAAGGTAGAAGAACAAGTTGTCCCCTGACCTCCACACAAATACCTCCTCCAGCGTAAAAACAGTGTGTTTTTAAAATTAAATGCTTACTTGGAATTGATTATCTTAGTAACAGCACAGATAACCAACCTGCCGATGCCACTCAGAAGACAACACCAGACCAGTAAATCCATTACCCACTCTGGACCTTGTTATCCCAGCCTGTTCCTGTGAGCCTCCAGCCAGGCAAGAAAAACTAAATTACAGGACATCTGGCTTCTGCCAGAAACTGTGTTAAGGTAACATCCTTCTGTTACTGCTCCTCTTGGAGATTACTATGTTCCCACATTACAAAAGGGACTCAATGGTTGACGAAACTAGGACAGAAATATCCCATTACTTTGGGATACTTTACTGTTTACAGCCAGACCAAGTCAGTTCCCTTCTCTTCTCCTCCCCTCCCCTTTCATCCTCTCCAAGTGCTCAAGACAGCACTCCAGACCTAGTACCAATTGACATCCCTATGGTATACACTGGGCCCTCACTCAGAAGAAGTTCCTGCAGTTCCTGATGGACGTTGGAGCCCTCTGTATGTGTTCCAAGTGGGAAAACTCATTCCCACAGCTGATGTACATTTGCCCAACTGAAGTACACCATAGTTATCCCCATTTACAGATGAGGAGACACACGCTGACCCAAGCTGCCAGTGTGTAAGTTCCTGGGGCTCTTCAGACATATGACGGGAATCTCTGAGAGTGGCATCCATGAATCTGCACTCTCAGTCAGCTGCCCAGTGGTACAGAGGGAGGACTCAGTGCCCCTAGACTGGCACTGCTCCAAAGCAGTCAATCTTAGGAACGTGTGACCTATACCACAAAGCCTTACCTCTGCCTTCTCTGCACTGTGGATTGTCAGGATCTTGGAGGATAAAATCCAGCTCACCAGGTCCCAGGCCTGTTTGTCTGTGTCTATGGAGGACTGGAGAAGTTCCTTCATGTTGGGTAATTGGCCAGCATCAGCAAGCTGAAAGGACAAAGAACCTCCATTAGCAAGGATCCCAGGGAAAAAAAAAAAAAGGTAATTGAACGCCCTCTAGTGGTGATATGAAAAACTTCATTCCTTCTGTCCAGATGAGTTTTACCAGAGGTAGATAAGTCTTCCTAAATAATATCAAACTCCGAAATCTTGTAATCCTACAGGGTTTTGTAATATTCACTTGGTACAAAACATGACATGAAGTGATGGCAGACTTTAGTCTTCGTCCTGTTAGTTGCAAGGCAACAGGAATAACTAAATGGGTGGTCCTTACACTCACTGAATGGGTGGTCCCTACACCGCTCCCCTTCCTGAACACAACGGGTTGATGCTATTCATATTCCTTGTTCCTACTTCCTGCCTCTTCCACTCCTAGTCCTGTCCAGGAGGGTGGTCTTTCTTACTGAGCATCTACTCAATGCCAGGCATGTAAATCTGGGAGGTATTAGAGAGGGGAATCATGGTGAAATGGAGAAGAAAAATAATTCTTATTTAAAAGTATTCACTAGCTGGGCAGTGCTGGTGCATGCCTTTAACCCCAGCACTCAGGAGGCAGATAGATCTCTGAGTTCGAGGTCAGCCTGGTCTACAAAGAGAGTTCCAGGACAGCCAGGGCTACACAGAGAACCCAGTATCTGGGAAAAGAAAACAAACAAACAAAAAAGCACTTTATGAACATTGGTATTTTGCCTGAATATATGTCTGTGTGAGGGTGTTATATCCCCTGGAACTGGAGTTACAGACAGTTGTGAGCTGCCATGTGGTGCTGGGAATTGAACCTGGGTCCTCTGGAAGAACAGTCAGTGCCTTTAACACCTGAGCCATCTCTACAGCCCTTACTCCCACACTTTGACCTTCACAAGCCCACAATGGTACATTTACACCACACACACACACACACACACACACACACACACACACACACACACCACATTAATTAAAGTTGAGGTAAGAGGATCAAGAATCAAGATCCACCTGGGTTAGCCACCTAGTGATTTCAAAACATGCTTGAACTATATGATGAGACAGAGTTAGAACAAAATACAAAATGCTGGGCATGGTAGCATATGCCTTTAATACCTAGCACTCAGGAGACAGAGGCAGCTCCTGCCTGGTCTACAAAACTAGGACAACACAGAGAAACCCTAAAACTAGGACAACACAGAGAAACCCTATCTTGAAAAACCTAATAATAATAAAAATGCTAGGGATGTAGCTCAGTGGTAGATTGCTTACATAGCACATGCAAGGCCCTGGGTTTAAACCCAGTATTGGAAAAATAATATTCTGTAGTCGGGGCTGGAAGCACACCCCTGTAATCTCAGATTCAAGGACCTGAGACAAGAGGGTTGCTGTGAGTGAAGCCAGGCTGCGCAACTAAGCCAGACACTAGGACACCAGAACAAAGGACTGGTGATGTCATTCTGTAGCTTCGCTAGATGTATGACACCCTAGGCTTGATGCTCAGCCCTGCACGTAATCCACACAGCAACACAACAGTATAGTCCAGTATTCAGGTAAAAGCGAAGGTGGGTTGGGAGTTCAGTTCATTCTTAGCTACATAGCAAGTTCAAGACCAGCCCAGGATCCACAGGACCCTATCTGGAAAAAGAAAGAAAAGGAGGGAGGGAGGAAGCGAAGAAGAGAGGGGAAGAGAAGCAATAAAAAATAATGAAGGACACTCAATCTCCTGCTTCTGCTCTGGGCTCATATCAGTTAGTTGTTTGTTTATCCATTGCTTATTTGTCAACCTAGAACTGGGGCTCAGCCACTTCCTTGGCTGCCCAGCACTCCTACTCTCATCTCACCCTGTGCGCCATAGCCCTATCCAAACGGAAAGCCCTCTGCCAGCTCCAGTCTGGACCCAGGCCCCACCCCAGCTCCTCTGTAGGAACAGTTGTCTTCAAGGCTCTCCCACAGCCATCTGCCCAGGCAGGACTCCTGCTGCGTCCTGCCTTCCTGGCCCTCCATCTGCCCACACTCTACACTCCTCATGGCCTACTTCACTCCATTATTCTGCTCTAATAAGCTAAGAGTCTTTCCCTGTCTACATTGTAGTCGGGCCTTTGGAGGGAAGACACACAAATAGGGCTACCAGACAAAATACAGTGTGCCCAGGTAAACGTGCACTTCAGATGAACAACAGCAAAAAATGAGCTAGGCATGGCGGTACAGACCTGCACTCAAGAGGCAGCAGGACCACAGGGCCAGGGCCAGCCTGGTCTATACCGGGAGTTCCATGACAGCCAACGCTACACAGCAAGAATTTGTTTCAGTGCATAAATATCCTATGTTATATCTGGGGCATAGTGTCTCATATATAGTTCAGGCTGGCCTGTAACTCACCGGGGTAGAACAGGCTAGCCTCAAACTTGGAGTGATCCTCAAGCTTCATGCTCTCAAGTGCAAGGGCTATAGGTGTACGTCACCATGTGAGACAGGCAAGCACTCTACCAGGCCAGCTATATCCCCAGCTCAATAACTCATTTCAGCCGGGCAGTACTGATGCATGACTTTAATCCCAGAACTCAGGAGGCAGAAGCAGGAGGATCTCCTGCCTCTACAGAGTGAGTTCCAGGACAGCCAAGATCACACAGAGAAACTCAGTCTTGAAAACCAAAAATAAAACAACAACAACAACAACAACAACAATAATAATAATAATAATTCATTTTAAAGGCAAGGAAACAGAAGCTCGGAGTTCTAAGTATCTTGTCTGGGATCATACAGCTAGCCTGTCCATGTTTCCATGTTAGGACAAGAACGCACGAAGCCAGGTGACCTGACTCCAGAGTCTCTCTAAGCTCAACATTCCTCTATTGCAGCCATTCTCAACTGTGGGTGGAGGCCCTTTTGAAGAGCCGGACCTTTTCAAAGGGGTCACCTAAGACCATTGGAAAACAGATGTTTACCTTACAATTAATAACAGTAGAAAAATTATAGTTATGAAGTAGCAACGAAAATAATTTTACATGAGGAACTATATTAAAGGGTTGCAGCATTAGGAAGATTGAGAACCACAGATCTACAGAATGAAAAGAGTTTTTCGTGAGGGCCTGAGTATTTTAGCAAAGGAAGACCTGGGCCAAACTTTGCTGTTTAGGAAGCTAATCAATCACGTAATCCCTACTGAACCCACCTGTGAATACAACCAAGATGCCGACTAGCTGTGCCTTAGGCCTGTCAAAGACAGGAAGAAGTATATCATGCGCAGTATGGGATGGAGCAGGAGACACAAAGCTTCCATGTGAGCAAGAGCTCTACACCACAGCTCCTGACGGGATGCATGTACCAATACTTGGGTGGAAGAGAGTAAGTATTCAGGGGGAAGGCAGGTAAAAGGGAACTCACTGAGCCAGGGGTGTGCGTGGAAATGCAATGATGGGGTTGTGAGAGGCTGAGCAAGCAGACACCCAGAGATGTGAGCAGCCAGGCACCCAAAAGGTGCATCCTGGGCTCAGACACCCCCGGGATATAAAAGGGTAGAAAACGAATAAGGGGTGGTCTGGGGGAAAGGCTGTGGCACTGGAGATCTGAGCCTCAGGGCCATCTACCACACTCCAGATCCAGGTGGTTCCTGTACAATGACAACTCTCACCAAAGCTTTGAAGTCCAACTTCCCTGGTTAAAAAGAAAGCCAAGGTTAAGAGCACTTTCTGCTCTTGCAGAAGACCTAGGTTCAATTCCCAGCACCCATGTCAGATGGCTTAAACTGCCTGTTATTCCAGCACCAGGGGACCTGACACTTGCTTCTGGAACCCCTATGCACATTGCATACACACACACACACACACACACACACACACACACACACACACAGAGGATAGATGACAGACAGAGTTTTAAAATTGAAGGAAAGACAGAAGGAAAGATCAATCAGTTGAGCATAGTGGCACACTCCTGTAATCCCAGCACTTAGAAAGCAGAGGCAGGAGACTCTCAGTGGGAGGCTATCCTGGGCTACACAGTGAACTCCTGTCTCCTCAACTCCCCCCCAAAAAATTGTTTTTAGATCAGGTTTCTCTATGTAGCCCTGGCTATACTAGAATTCAATCTGAAGACCACGCTGGCCTTGAACTTAAAGAGATAGATCTATCTCTGCCTCTCAAGTGCTGGATTAAAGACTTGTGCCACCACTAGCCCCTCAGAGAAAGTTAAAAAGAAAAGCAATCAGCAAGCTGAGAGTTTTTCCTGGTTTCCTAATTTCTAGAAAGCAAGAGGACAAACAAATCCTATCAGCAATGGTCTACATTTGTGTGTTTGTCCAAGACACCAGTGTCACTCTACAGGAGAGGTGATCTCTAACTCTCCTGCCTCAGCTTCCCACTAGCTAAGATTGCAGGTATGCATTCCCACACCTGGCTTTCACAACCCTCACTTCTGTGGCTCTGCTATGGAGACTAAGATCTATCTGAGGAGATGGCTGGAGGAGGCATGCATGGTGGGCAGAGCTGAAAGCTTGTGACTGGGAGACACAAAGTGTCAGTAACCAGCAAAGAGTGAACAGGGGAGAGAGGCCCAGTGAGCCAGCAGGGGATAGCTCAGCCTCCAACCTCCCTGGCTTTGAGCAAGTGACATGGCAGCCCAGGGGATACTTTCCAACTCCCCAGATCACCAGCTCCTGGATCAGAGGCCCAAGAATCTGTTTGCAGATGTTACTGCAGGAGATGCCCATCCTCAGGCAAAACTGGAGCTGCTCGGATGCAGGTGGCAGCTGTTGCTGCCCAGGAAAGGCACAACAGGCAAGACAACACCTGGAAAAAGTAATTGTCTAGGAAAGTGCCAGAGGTCACAGTTACCTCTGAGGTAACAGGAGAGGGGGTGGTGCAGAGAAGAGAACGAACCAAAGGGCAAAGGGCACCTGCCTCAGGGACCAAACCATGACATCTGCAATAGAGAGGGGAGGAAGGACCAACTGGCATGCGGGGCTGCCAGGTAACGGCTGCCAGGTGAGGGTGCAACTCCATATAGGTATGCCAGGCCCAACA